CAAAAAATATTTCTGCACAATTTGGCATGTTTCATTGCATTGTCACAAGAAAAAATACACAGTATGCTTGCTAATATTTGAAAAAATTATGAAGCCGTACATCACTTTTGGCCACTACTGTACACCTTGTAAATATGTTTTATAAGAACACAGAAACGTTGTTAAAGGAATCAGTCTTTTCTTACTGAGAATCGCTGATCAAGTCCAGTCAAAGTTTATTCATAAAGCAATTTTTGAAAACTATCGATATCCCATATCAATGGTACAAACAGCACATAATAAGACAAAGCACAGCACACGTTGTTGATGAGCATTAAAACCAAATTAATAGAGGAAATAAACATAAATAATGTCACATAACACAATCTCCGCTTGACATATATTTTCCAGTCCGGTTTTGGAGTTTTTATCTTTTTAGAGCTAAGCTTCACATTCAACATCTCAACAATTTTGCAACTAACTCGCTTATTAACGATCAGGTGTTCGATAAAAGATAATTACAGAGGTATATAATTTGGGACCCAAACTGTATCCACAAGTTTCCTACGCCCCATGAGGCCTTGCGTCAAAAGTGGGCGCGACTTCCGGTTGGAAGTAAACAAAGCGCGATTTGACATGCTTGACACTCGTTCATTCAACAGTTGACAGTCATTCAAGTTATAGCGATCCAAACTAGCTAACGATGTGGGAACACAACCTCAACCAAATTCAAAAGGGTGAAATAACAGTACCTTTACCCTCCGCAGTAGTTGATTGGGAGTATTATAATAACATTATTAATAATCAATACTCATCAAGGCATGGTGACAGAGAGTTGTGTGAGCTGACAAACAATTAAAATAAAAAATACACATTTAGTCATTGTGCTTTGGAGTTTATTCAAAATTATAAATGAATGTGCTACTTGAATACATTACTGGCACATTTGGTATCAGGCTTTGATCCTGAGTTTAGGTGTAACATCAGTAGCGAACAGCCAATCACATGCTGATAGAGTTTATAGAATATTAAGAATTTAAACTAATGTACACAGGAAGATTCGTCGTCTTTTGGGAGGTGATGGAAACTACAGTCGTTGGCAGGATCACTCTGATTTCGTTTTCAGCTTATGTTCAAAACAATCACGTTTAAGCCACTGAACTAGTTTAGTCCGGTTATACATACAACCGCGAACAGCACATGTTGTCCCTGAGCTCCGTAACGACATCTCTCATAAAGATTTGCGTCTTTAAATGGTAAAATAATTCTCCGAAAAACAGCTAGCCTCTTCGCTAACTAACACACAAAATACCATTGGAATGCTACTTCCGCTGCCTCACCGGAAGTTTCACCCACTTTATTTTTTTACAGGAGCGCCCCTCGGAAACTTGTGGATACAGTAAAAAGCGAAAGCATTTCCCTAGAATGAAATACTTTGTATATAGCCGGTCCAGACGGTGGAGATTACTGCCACCCTTTGCTGTTATGAGATTCATTGCACAGTTGAGTAATCATGTGTGCCACCAACAATCACCAGACACTCTGATTCTCACTACAGGTCCACAAATGTGTGGCTGCGTGTGAGCTCTCTTTCCCCAGAGGGAGAACAAACCAGATGGGTTCTAAATGCAAAATTTCATTTTGTATCATTAGTAGGTTAGTTCACCCCTCATTGGCTCGCCATCTGCCATCAGCTCAGGCTTCTCATCCCTCCACCACGACACTGTTGAGAATGAAACGCAGAAGTTTGATCTTTGATGCCTCTCAAACGACAGCGCCGGTTTGTGCAACTGCACTGATGCTTTTCTGAAGTGGAACAAGATAGCGTGGCCGTGGATATGAAGTCATGCTGCTAGAAGTAATTGGTGAACAGTTGCGTGTTTAATGTTAGCCATAAATCAGCTTTACAATAGTTCTTCCTCTCTTTTGAATTGGCCTTTATATGAGGGAAATTTAAGCATAATTCTGATCATTTTTAAGTGCCGAGATATTGTTAATTAGTTGGCCATATTTAGCCTAATAGTAATCATTTTCTACATTTCTATATTCAAATTGTGTTAATACTTTAATCTCGTGAAATTATATGCCATTGTAATTCGTAAAATGGATTTTTATGATGTATTTATGCAGATGTTTTAACAGCTTGTAGTGTTGGGGAAAGTTACTTTAAAAATAAATCCATTAATATACTCACTAAAAAAAAGCTACTAATTGTGTTACTTAGTAACTGTTTATGAAAAGTAATTCATTTACGTTTGTGTTGCTTGCTTGTCTGTTTTTAATAACAAAAAAAGCCCTTTCACACCAAAACTGAAATAGACTCAAAACAGCTCAAACAAACCGTTACGATCGCAGAGTAATAAGTTTAACACTCTTACTTCAGCAGGTTACTGTAAATAAATAAAAAAAAGCAGAAGTGTGGTTTATTTAAAGTCATTTTTGCTCATTACTTTGGTTGAATTGGATCGAAGGTCAGCAAGAAAAGGTTAATAAAGTGAGATTAAATACATAAAGTGTATTTGTGCTATTTAGCATTTTTAATTATTGCATGTTTGTGTAATTTTCAGAGTTTTCATTTCACTATTTTTTATTATTTTTTTCTCAGACACTTTTTTTGAAAAATTAACTCTTGCAACTTGCATTACTTCACTTACTTCAAATCTGATTGCATTATCACATTGCTTTTAAAGCGTTACACCCAACACTGACAGCTTGTAACACAACTTTAAAAATCAGATCTTCCCCGACTTCCTAGGTTGTCTATAATTTTTTTTTTTTTTTTTTTTTTTTTTTTATGTGAAGGATTCAGGATGTTTTTTGCCTGGAAAACAAAAGGATGTGATGTTTACGCTCCTTAGAGCCCCTCTTCCGTTCAGTGACACATGGAATGAATGAATGCTTATACAATGTTCAAAAAGAAAAAAAAAAGAAAAGAAAGAGCCATTCTAAACTGTAACGTCATAATGTCAATGTGTCATGCAAGGGATTCATTCAAACTGTAGTCTCACAGAGCCAAATATAAATAGTCTCTTAACGGTGTCATTTTATTTTACTGAGCTCACCTATGGACATGATGCCGGTGAATCGCAGTGCTTGTGCAAAGACTTATTTAGTTATTGAGAGGAAAGAGCACATATTTACATATTTATCTAACCATCGCTTTTAGCAGTTCGTTCATTATTTCCAATTTCTTTTTACTTCTGAGCGAAGAACGAAAAGAACGTGATTCTATCTGGGCATTGAGTCACATTGAGTTATTACAGCAGAAGTAATAATCTGCTGCTGCAGTTCACCTAATGGCCACCGGGGAATTCTGAATTCTACATTTAGCACCTTTAATTCATGTAATTAAAAGATGTTCAACAATACGTTTATTTTTAATAAAAAATTATGAGAAGAATGCCCTTTTTTTCTACTTGAGCACCTGTCCCCCAAAATATCCCTCATGCAGTAGTTGTCATCCTCTACACCTTTGCAGAATCAACCATTCCTCTAGGCTCAATGCTTATAGATGGGGGATCAAACTGTTTTCCCTGACAGCACTGTAAGTCAGATAAAATACATAAATGCATGTGTTAGTCGTCTCTGCCAATTAAATTGGGATAGGAAAAAGTATTAATATTATCACAAGAAATGACACTTCACTGTGCACTTTTCACTGTGTGTTCATGGTCATTTTTTACAGACTAAAAATCAAAAGCTCCAGCCAAATTTCTTTAGACCTGTGTTGGATATGATGACCAACTCTATGAAGCATCAAAGATGTTCGACGTGATCAACGGTCCTGTCGGAGATGACCTAAAGACCTGTTTCTACCTTTCCATCGTCATCCTTAATCAGTGTTTCTCATCCTGTCTGAAGACTTCTTGCTCTGTGAATGCTTTAACATCTAATTACAGACCACTAAATTATGGTTGTATAGGAGTTAACTTCTGAGCACAGTGTTCCTTTAGATTTCCCCGCAAGGGTATTTTATTTCGGGAGGCAGTCAGCTAAGAAGATTATAAGACCAGTTTTCAATTTATCTCCCACCCCCAGACTCTCCTTATTGACTGACTTCCTTATCACGGTTTACCAGAATCCAGAGAATGACTGGCATCGTCATCCCAATCTGACACTTGGAAACTGCTGTTTTTTTTTTTTTTTATTTATTTATTTATTTATTTTTTTCAGAGAGTAAATTAGTTCAGGCCTTTTTCAACCCAGAATTTGTTTTCTATGGTGCATTGTTTTAGCTGTATCCAGTTTTGAACTATGAAAATATAGGTACAAAGAGAAGAAATTTCAGGTCAGGCAAAAAAAAAAAAAAAAAAAAAACTGTGATCACATTGATGTTTATTTTGCAGAGTAATTATATTACAAGTAAGTACTAAGTAATCCACATGCTTTTATACACATTGTTGCTGATGAACATAATTAAAATCACATCACATGTAACACCGACACTATGTGTTACCATCATTTTTGTAGCAGATTTGGCTGATACCAATGCATGCAATGTAAATCTGTATTTTTTTTTTTTGTTTGTTCTTTATTTTACACAATATTAACAATAATGGAGAACAAAACATGTGTGAAGTTTATTATCTATTGACGAGGCTTGTTGGAAGATTGTGGAACTGACAGAACTACATGCGTCATGGATTTTCATCCATGCTGAAAAATAATCAGCTTGGCTAAAATTATTTGTGGCGACTATAAAAAGTAGTCAAAATTGCTCTTTTCAAGAAAATTTGTTTAATGACAAGAGGTTGTGCTTTAAAATTGTAACATTTCTTGTTGTATTTAAGTCCAAAAAAACTGTCTGCGCCAGATGCATTCACATGTAGAGCAATACGCATGCAACCTCCGAGAAGACTTACATTATTACATTATTTACAGTGAATGGACAGCGTCCGTCAATTGATAAAACACACGATCTATCTCATACACAGAGCAATGCAAGTTGGTCAAATAAAAAAATAAAAAAAGAGGAAAGAAAAAAACATATACAAAGCATATAAAGAGCGCCGAGGAGAGAAGGTGGCCATGCAGTGTCTGGGATTTCAGTGGTGGAGATGTTGTGTTCGGGGAGGGTCGACTTTGAGCTGACATTGAGAGTGACGGTGTGTGCTTCATGTAACATCTCTGGACGCTCACGGTAGAGGAGCTGCTCCTGTCTCTGGCTCTTTCCCCTGTCCTTCAGCACCACACAACTGGACAGCACCAGACCACCAGACCCTCACTCACCTTTCCCCTCAGGATAGCTGTTTGTCTCACTTGACTTTATGGAAACATTTTGCACTGGTTTGAACAAGTAAAATTCCAAGAGTTGGAATTTGTGAGGAACCCACGGATACGCACCGCCGCAACCAAACTGGCAGGAAAACTGTTCCGGTGTAAGTAGCTCATATTTAACTGCTATAAAAACAAGTAATTTTAATGCTTTTGTTTTCGTAGTTTTGTGAAAATCTGAGTTCTATGAAAGTTGAACATCTAAAACGCACTGTTTTTACACGCGTCTGACTGACTTTTAAGCTTGTAAAACGCGATGTTTGTCGGATGCGTTTTAGTTTTGCGTTTTTTTAAATCAATATTTTAGTCTCACGCTCATGTATCCCAAATAAAAAAAGGCAACTTGACAGTTTTCAGCGACTTTTTGAGCTCGTATTTCAGCGCGTGCAACTCTGAGCTTTTGCAAACGCGTCGCGCGCTTGGAACTTCGAAATTAGAGATTTCTAAATTAGAATTTGACGAATTTATTCGAACGGTTTGACATAAAGTGTGATCTGTCGTTTGTAGCCTATTCGTGAGAAGATTATTTCAAATCCGCCGTTTGAATAATTTGAATTCAGAAATGCATGCAAATAATTTGCCCTTTCGCAAACCATCACAGAGAAGTTTTAAATAACAGAAATGCACATCATCAGTTATGTAAAAACAGCCTAAACAAATATGTAGCTACAGACGCGCTTTTAACGCCCCGCGGGCTAAACTCACATGCACCAAATTGTATTTTATTTGGCTATGCTATTTCATCTTATTGTATTTAATTGTTTTGTATCTTAATAATATTGCATTGATAAAATGCATGCGACGAACACAATAATGTGTATATCTAAATGCCACTTTCTTTCAATGGTTTCCAGGTCAGTGTCAAGCTTCATTGGCGTTTTTTGACTCTAATCGTTGGTTAATCGAACCGCGAAGCTGCTGTCTACGTGGACCGGTGCTGAACTCTTCCGTCCGACCGCCAGGACCAAACCCAGAGACATGGCCACGAACGGCACCAAAGCCTCCGATGGACACGTGCTAACAGAGGTCAACGAAGCGTCCACCGCCAATGATAAACCAAAAACTCTGGTGGTCAAAGTTCAAAAGAAAAATGACATTCCTGACAGAGAAACGTGGCAGGGGAAATTTGACTTTCTTCTGTCATGTGTTGGCTATGCCATTGGACTTGGCAATGTCTGGAGATTTCCTTATCTATGCGGAAAAAACGGAGGAGGTAAAGAAAAAAAATCCTGGTTGTTCTTACCATTTATTCAACCCCTCGAAACAAACGGAGTAAAAAAAAAAATCTGATTTCACTCAATAACATTTGCGCTGGATATGCGCGATCTTTGGAAGCGCAATCCTCTAAACAGTGGATTTTATAAACGGATGCTTATTTTGAATGTGTCTCATTATATTACTCTTCTGTCTGTATAGGGGCGTTCTTGATTCCCTACTTTTTGACCCTCATATTTGCTGGGGTCCCGTTGTTTCTTCTGGAAACGTCTCTCGGTCAGTACACGTCCATCGGGGGTCTTGGAGTGTGGAAACTGGCCCCTATGTTTAAAGGTAACCAACACGATTAACTACTAAAAAAAACCATGTTTAGATGCGTGTAAATGATGCTGTGTTTCAGTTGCTTTCAGTTTTTCAAAAAAAAAAAAAAAAGAAAAGATCTGAAATTTGGAGTTATTGTGTAGTTATTATAGCACATATGTTTCCGTAGGTGTTGGCCTGGCAGCAGCAGTCCTGTCTTTCTGGCTCAACATTTACTACATAGTCATAATTGCATGGGCAATTTACTATCTGTATAACTCATTCACCACAGTAAGTACATGCGGTCTGGCATCATAATAGCTCATGACACTGACTAGACTAGAACTGACTTGTCCTGTTTACAATGTCCTGTTTCAGGAGCTCCCCTGGAAAACTTGTGATAACCCTTGGAATACAGAAAAATGTTTCTCAAACTACAGCCAGGGGAACACCATCAACATGACGAGCGCCGTCGTGGAGTTCTGGGAGTAAGGGCTTTAAAAAAAAATGTTTTGGTATTCAAGCAACATGCAAACACTTTCCTTTTGTCCTCGGCCGTGTAAAAGAAGCAGTGTTGTTTCTCAAAAATGCGGCTATTGTGCTATTTTTGGCAAACAACCCTAGTTGAATGTTGTGCATCAGCAATTAGACTTGCTCTGTTTGTGGGTTACGTGGGTTGATACATATGCATAATATTCGTCTGCATTATCTAATAATGTTTATTCTCTCTCAGACGGAATATGCATCAGATGACTGATGGTTTGGAGAAGCCGGGAGAGATCAGACTGCCACTAGCAATAACACTGGCCATCGCCTGGGTCCTGGTCTATTTTTGTATCTGGAAGGGCGTAGGCTGGACTGGAAAGGTAAGCCATTGCACACACACAAAAATTGAATTCACATGTTTCAATTCACATTCATTTGTATAGCGCTTTTCACAATACACGTTGTTTCAAAGCAGCTTTACAGAGTCCACATTATGACCAGAGGAAACTGTCACTGTAAAAAATGAATGCACTTTAGCTTTATCAAAAAATGGGGCAACAGATTAATTTACAAGCAATATTATTAATTCAATTTTAACAAATTAGAAATGAGTAATAATTATTCAAATTGATTCCTTAAAAGTAAACCATTTAAAATGAGAAAAACTTCCATTTAAGTCACCATTATGGTGATCAGTGTTTGTTTTAGCTTTCTCCTTCAGTGATTCTGCTTGTTAACATCAGGTGTCTTAATTGATCTTTGACGTTTGTCTGTTATTCAGATATTTTTGTTGATTTTTTTGTAAACTTTACTCGTTTTAAATGGTTAACGTTTAAGGAATAATTTGATTAATTATTACAAATTTGTTCAATTTAATTACAAATATTGCTTGCAATCTGTTGCCACAATTTTATTGATTAGATAAAGCGTATTCATTTTTACAGTGTGAGTTATGCCTATCAGAAATGTACACATACAAATCACAGTTAGCGAAAAATGTACTAATTTAAACAATGTAATAATTTAAGGCAGAAACAATGAGCTCAATGAATTATATGACGCATTGGTGTATGTTGATTCAGAGTTTAAATCGAAAAGACTGAAATTTAAATGTAGGCCTTCAATCAAGGCTTTGAGATCACAATCTATGCAAATAATGTCACGCTTCACTTAGCTCTTATCGTTATCGTGCAATATCAAAGCAGACGTGCGTTTTCCTCAAGGCTGTTAATGTGTGTGTTTCAGGTGGTATATTTCTCAGCGACGTACCCGTATTTCATGCTGTTTATCCTGTTCATCCGTGGAGTGACGCTGCCTGGAGCGAAAGAGGGCATTTTGTTCTACATCACGCCCGAGTTCAGCAAGCTGAAAGAATCCGAGGTAGAGCGCTGTGTAATTATCGTAGCGTAACAGACATGTCCTCACAGGCGTATAATCTGCTGATGTCTCCTCTTAGGTGTGGTTGGACGCTGCCACTCAGATCTTCTTCTCGTACGGCCTGGGTTTGGGCTCTCTCATCGCCCTCGGGAGCTACAACCCGTTCAACAACAATGTTTACAAGTATGCAGCAATTGTAAGATTTATTAAGGGGCATTCAAAATGGCAACTCTAATTTGACCTGTACAGACACTTGCCTACACAAAATGCTTCCTCGGTGTGATAGATAGATAGATAATCTTCTCTTAAAAATAAAGGGTTTTCGCAGTGATGCCATAGAAGAACCCTTTTCGGGTTCCTCATAGAACCTTTTAGTGATCAGTTCTTAAAATAACTGCATTTATTTAGCTTTTTTGCAATGGGCTCTTCATGGAACCATCAGTGTCAATAAAGAACCTTTATTTTTGAGAGTGTGGGATACATAACTAAACCGTTGCTTTCCATGCTTTGGTCTGTTTCTCAGAGATTCTATCATCGTCTGCTGCATCAATTCCTTCACCAGTATGTTCGCTGGATTCGTGATTTTCTCCATCGTAGGTTTCATGGCTCACATCACACAGCGGCCCATAGCAGACGTGGCTGCGTCAGGTAATTATGATGGGTTTCAGCTTGATCACTGGATAAAGACCTTCTTCTTCAAGACACACAGTGTTTTGGCATCTTATTAGTCAATGAGCAATTATAAGCAGTCTTGCATTTAGTAGCAGTACTGTACAAAACAATAGCGCTTTCCATGCATGGTTTTTGATTTATTTCTGTTGCATCAAACAAATCATGAATATGGCCTCAATCTTCACGACTGCATCTAATAACCAAAATTAAAATCGTACTAATATGATCTGCCTCACTGTTCAGTTAAAATGTGTTTTTAATTAATAACTAATCGAAATAAGCAAAAAATATAATGTTCAGCTCTGTCCAACATTTCGCACATCAGTCTGTTATATTATTTATTCCCTTTAAAATATAAACGAATAACTAAATAACATCTCTTTATGCATTTTGCAAGATCAACCATCAACCCTGCTACCAAAATAATAAAATAATAATAATAATCGGAAACAATTTTTTTTTTAAATGACTACATTTTGATAATTAATTGTTTATTTAATAAAATAAAAGAAATAGAAAATATTGAATGCAACAATAATATGAAATTACCAAGCGTTTTTAGTAACAGAGTTGCAAATATTGCAAACCTCGTAAAATGCATTGTAAATAAAACGTCTATTTTTAATACTTAGTGTGAGGTTTAAAAATACGATCAATAATTTCTAGCGGTTAACCATCTCAACAAATATTTGATGAATAAAACTATGCAAAGTGCTGCGCATAAAATTGACCATCACTAGAGATTCATTTTTTGATTGGTATATTACTTTTGGCTTTAATAAGTGAAATAACAAAGGAATATCAGAAATAAAGTATTTAATTATAAATCAAACCGGGAACATGCAGGAGATAACAGGAACAGTTATCATTCATACATAACATACGCTGTAAAAAAATTATTTTTCATGATTTGTTCTTTTCTAAAATCAACTTAAATAATTTATGTGGTTCAGACAACATAATATGTATAGTTTATGATGATTAAATCAATCTCCGTCATTGTATTTCCATTTCAATGAACTTAAAAATAAGGCAACCAGATTACTTCATTTTTAAGTTAAACCAACTATGTTTTTTTTAACAGTGACAATACCAGGTTTTAAATACACAGGGATGAATAACATAACCAGAAACACAATCAAATACCATGAAGACAATATTGCAAAGAACACGGTGAAAGCAAATACAAAAGGGATCATACATGTATGTCACAGCTGTATTCCTGGTAGCCTAGGCCATCACACGGATGGAAAAGGCATTAAGCGTGTTTTGTTCTCCAGGGCCGGGTCTGGCGTTCCTGGCCTATCCGGAGGCCGTCACACAGTTACCCATCTCACCACTCTGGGCTATTCTATTCTTCTCCATGTTGCTCATGCTTGGCATTGACAGTCAGGTAAAGAACATGCTTCACATTTGCACACTACCGTACATGTGTTTACATGCATGCACATATGGCCTAGTCATTCTACATCTCTTTGAAGAAGCCTTTCATAACTAAGCTAGAGAAAGGGATGTACTTCTTTTATTTTTCATTTATGTAAAATTATATCTTTTAATGAACTTTTTAATGAACTTCTCTTTAATGAACTTCTCACTTCTCTAACCCTTAAAATCACAACTGGTGTAACCTAATGTCCTAAAGGGATAGTTCACACAAAAAAAGATATTTTTTATAGGGTGTGACGATACCCTTGTGTCACAATTCGATATATATATCGTGATACTGAACTTATTTCGATACTCCAAGACATATGGTAAAAGGTTGACAAAATATGTATTGTTGATTAAAATGCTGAATTTGATTGTGGGTTTAAATGAATAGTCTTGGACTCAAAGTACAGGGCAATAGAGACACCAGAATAACAATATTCATGATTCTGAAGCTGAAAATACTGAATTATTTTAGATGAACATGCTTTGTCATTGACTAGATATATTTAAAACAACGTAGGACACTTTTACTGGTAACATCAGACATTTGGTATTATCAGGACCAACAAATATCCCCCCTTTACATTATAATACATTATAATCAACATTATATATAGTAGTTTAATGTGGTACCGACACTAAAACTCACTAAAACTCAGTAATTTTTTATTTTGGGGGGACTATCCACGATACATATTGTCGTTGCGATATATTGGGGCACGATTACACCCCTACCCCTACCCCTACTTGATGATATCTGAGAAATTATTGTCCATTTATTGACAGTCTACGCAACTACCACTTTCAAACCCCAGAAATATTGTAAATGCATCATTGAAGTAACCCATGTGACTCCAGCGGTTTAACCTCAATTTTAGGAAGCGACGCATTTTTTTGTGCAAAAAACATAATTTACCACTTTATGTACAAAATTTTAATCACAAACGTACAATCACAAGTTGATGCGAGAGAAGACGTTGTGTGAACTCTTGTTGGAGATTAATATTGTGTAAACAAAGAACTGAAAATAATGTAAATGTGTGTACCTTGAAATGAAATGTAAGCCGCTTTGGATAAAAGCATCTGCCAATAAATGTAAAGTAATAAATTATGGTTGTGTGTGTGTGCACAGACAACTCATATAAAATTGGAGTTAAAACACTGGAGTAACTTGGATTATTTTAAGGATGCATTAATTTACTACCTCACCTAAAGTGGTAGTTGCGTAGCCTGTCAATGGAGGGACAGAAATCTCTCAGGTTTAATTGAAAAGATCTCCATTTGTGTTTCAAAGATCTTGATCTTGAGTAATTAATGACAGAATATTCATTTTTTGGGTGAACTGTCCCTTTAATGTGACGCATGATGATATTCAGAATTCAGACAGTATTTATGACTTGAATAAAACCAGTTTATTTAGAGATGATCAACTCAAGCACATGTTCAGGTCATGACCAAATCAAACCTATCTTAATCTCCATATATCTCTATGTTGTGTGTAGTTCTGTACGGTGGAGGGCTTCATCACGGCTCTTGTGGACGAGTTTCCCCGTGTGTTACGAGGAAGACGAGAGATCTTCATCGCTGCCGTCTGCCTGGTGTCGTATCTGATCGGCCTGTCAAACATCACACAGGTTAATGCACACATCTCATCTTTACACCCGTTTCACATCGAGAGCTGGAGGCTGGTGTTATTCTGAACCGTTTAACGGGATATATGGTAAAAATACATAAACGGCAGGATAAGAGCTCTCAAAGCTGCATTAATAGGACAGAAGCATTTGAGTGTTTTTTTGCTGGGATATGTGATGAATCTGAAGTATTCAACCACTATATAACCTCAAACTGTTATATAAAAGCAAGTGAAGACACAGTAGAAAAAGGCAATCAATTAATATTATTTAATAGATAATAACGTTAATAAAAACGCTATGTATCTAGATGAAACTTAAGGGTAAGATTAGATGATGTACAGGAAAGTAATGGAATTGTCTTTTAAAGTCAGCATAAATGTATAGAAATCCACAATGCACTTTAACTTGCAACGATCCAGTCCATTTCTATTGAGTTTTTTTCTTCGTGAACAGGCAGCTTAACTTAGAAAGCTTCACATTACAGAAGTAAAATGGTTTGTTATCATCATTTCCTGTAGAATTAAGCATGTGGCAATACAGAAACTCACTAAGTTGCTCCGTTGGATATGCATTAATGCTCAATCCTCATCCATATACATTTCATGTGACTCAAAAAAGCAGAGAAGAGAAAGCTTGCTTTGCTAATTCTCATTGCTGTTACCATGTATCAAGCGCCTTTGAAACCCGCAAACACTGCTATCGAGACGAGAGAGTGCTTTTCTAAACCCATCTGATCCGCATGGCTTGCTAACCAAGGCGATTCTTCTCTCGACAGGGTGGTCTCTACGTGTTCAAACTGTTCGACTACTATTCTGCCAGTGGAATGTGTTTGCTGTTCCTGGTATTCTTTGAATGCGTCTCCATATCCTGGTTCTATGGTAAATATGGCAAAAAATTCAAATAAATCAACTCATTTCCTTTTTCCACATCGTCGAGAAGCATGATCTGACATTTAACATGCATTTTAAAATATTTGTTGAAAATGAACGTCATTTATAAAGTGTTAATATGTTAATCTGTTTATCATCGAAATCCAGGAATGGTTTGCTCATAGGTTTTTGTAATTATTAATTCATTTGCTTTTTATTCGTCACATCCAGACATAACACACAGCGCATGCTAATTATTATCACAGATAATATAATTCATGCTAATCTCGCTGCCAGACTCATTTCCACACTCAGTTGATTTGAATGAATATGAACCTGTAGAATCTTAATTGTTGTGCATGGCAGGCTTGATTATGCAAACTACAGCCCTATTCTCTATTTGCATTCATGAAGCGAGGCGCAGACCTCCAGTAATCCTCCACAAACTCATGCATTGGAACTAGGGCATTTTTCACAAATATTGAATTCGAATATATAAGCTCATAGAAATCAAACATTCGAATATTTGATTATTTAGGCGTATAACTATAAAAGATGTTCACGTTCAAGATGTATTCATCAAGTTTTTGTTGCCATTTCTGAACAAGTTTCCAATTAGCCAACAAGCATTGTAGGGCTTTCAAACGATTAATCGCGATTAATCGCATCCAAAATAAAAGTTTGTGTTTACATAATTTATGTGGGTGAACTGTGTATAATTATTTTGTATATATATATAAATACACACACATGCATGTATATGTAAGAAAAAAATATTATTTATATATAAAATATTTTTTATTTATATATAATATACAAATCTATATACAGTATATACATGAAAATATTTCTTAAATATATACAAGCATGTGTGTGTATTTATATATATATATAACATATATTATACACAGTGCACCCACATATATTATATAAATACAAACTTTTATTTTGGATGCGATTAATCGCGATTAATCGTTTGACAGCCCTACAATGTAAGCTTGTTGTATATATCGGCTAATCGGAAACTTGTTCAGAAATGGCGACAAAAACTTGATGAATACATCTCGAACTTTTATTTTGGATGCGATTAATCGTTTGACAGCCCTAAAAGTTGTTTTTTTTTAAAACACACTCCACAACGCCACCCAATATGACTGCGAGTTTTAGTGCTTGGGATTTATCATGGATTTACAACCAGCAAAGCAATGTAGTAAAATGTGAATAGTACTTTTATTTTTCGAATAATAATGACAAGGGCTGTAACAATATATCGTAATACAAAAATTCAACAATATATATTGTGGATATTTTTTAATTATGTATTGTGTATAGTAAAAATCACTATGTGAGAAAATTCCAGTCTTCAGAGTTTGTGTCAGTACTACATTAAACTACTATATATAATGTTGAATATATTGTATAATAATGCAATATATTTGTATGATAATGCCATTGTTTTAAATATATCTAGTCAGTGACAGTGAAAGCATATTCGTCTAAAAGAATTCAGTATTTTCATCTTCAGAATCATGATTGTCCTGTGCTTTGGGTTTCAAGTCCAAGACTATTCATTTACACACACAATGTAACACCAAATATACCATTTTAATCAACAGAATAATAAATAAACAGTTATTTCTTCGTTAACCTTTTACCATGTGTCTTGGAGTATCGCAATAATATCGTATCGTGATCATGTGATATGTATCGAATCACGAGGGTATCGTCACACCCCAAATATTTACAGATCGAATATTCATCCACACCCCAATTGTAACCGTATATCTCGCCTCTTAATTCGTATGTTGTGCCTGTTGCAGGTGTCAATAAATTCTACGGCAATATTGAGGAGATGATTGGCTACCAGCCCTGCATTTGGTGGAAGCTGTGCTGGGTCTTTTTCACTCCTTTGATTGTGGGGGTAAGTTGACTCACTTTGTGCACCGGAAGCATTTTCGAGATGAAATTTCAGACTGACTGTTTGTTCCTTCTGTCGTAGGGTGTGTTCATCTTCAGCGCGGTTCAGATGGTCCCGCTCAAACTCAACAATTACGTGTTCCCGAAGTGGGGGCAAGGCGTGGGCTGGTGCATGGCCCTGTCATCCATGGTTCTTATCCCGGGATACATGGGCTACATGTTCCTCACCCTGAAGGGCACATATAAAGAGGTATCGCTACCGTTCGCAGGTCCTCGCAGCCACAGGTGCGAGTGTCAGGGAACATGAAAGTATCTCCACTGACGACAGTGGGGTAAATGATTCAGATTGCATGCATTAATAATGCAGATGTTCCAGCATGGGGCGAAGCATGCACCGTTTCTATTTCGTGGCTATTGGATTCATTCTAATTGCGTCAATTAGTCTTCACATCTTGCCATTTGAGCATGCAATCGACGACTTGGACTGATTGTAGAAATGAGAGATTTTGCTGAAGGTGTTTTTCAGTACCTCGGGTTTCTAAGACTGGTGATTAGGAACACAGAGCACCGATCTCAATTCACTGTGGTCGTAGCTTATGATAATCCTGACACACTATTTTGGATTTGGCTTCAATTGCATCCTAATTGTACCAATCAAGGTCATGATTTCTGCTTTCACTCTTGCATTTGTACGTTCTTTGCTGTACAATCTAAAAAATCCTAAAAAGGTTTGGGTCAAATACAACCCGATCTCACGGGAATTCGTACAAATTTTACGAGGTGGATAAATCGTACATATTTTACGAACTGGCCAATTCGTATGAATTCGTACGAATGACCTACCCCTGACCCCGCCCCTAAACATAACCGTCACGTGGGTTTAGACAAATCGTACGAATTCGTGCGAGTGAGGTCGTATGAATTAGTACGAATTAGCCATTTTGAATCACTCGTACGAATTCGTACGAATTGGTTCGTGAGATAGCGTAGGGATAAAACCCAACCTTTGGTTTAAACATTTTTATTTAAAAATGAATCCGGCAACACTTCATCCACTAATACTAACGCTTTATTTTCTCTTTACTTATTATATACACTCTAAAAAATGCTGGGTTGTTTTAACCCAATTTTGGGTCAAATATGGACAAACCCTGCCATTGTGTTACAGTTACATTTTTAACCCAATGATTGAGTTTGTCCATATTTAACACAAATTTGGGTTAAAATAACGCAGCATTTTTTAGAGTGTATCGATTTAAATAAATAACTGCATTAGACTAAACTGGGAAGTATGCAGCATATTGTTGTCCTAATGTTAGGTCAACAGTTTCTATTGCTTTCCTCATTTTATCCATAGCGTCTGCTAAATGATTAAATGTAAATGTAAATCAGTGGTTGGGTTTGTCCATATTTGCCCCAATGGGTTCAAACAACCCAGCATTTTTTTGGTTCATCAATCCATCAATCCCACGAAGGATTTTGGAGTGTAGTTTGCCAGTCCAGAAATGGCAGCTGACAACTTTCCTTCTCGTTTGCAGCGACTTCGGATAATGATCCAGCCCACAGCATTGGTTCGGACTCAAGAGAACGGACCCGAACAACAACCGGAAAACCCCATCCCAGCCAACGACGAGGCCTACATCTAACCACCATCCTCCCGCTTCACCCGAATTATCAAAGGTCAGCGTTCAGAGAGAGAATTAAAGAGTCGATCACAACCAAGGACTTCCATGTCTAAAGTATATTCACCTACCTCCGAGGGAACACCAACCTGATTACAGTTAAATTTTTTTGGTACATATATATATATATATACGTATGGTCTAAAAAATCTATCCGGCAATGTTCTATGGTTAATCTGTATTTCATATGCAAGATATTAGTCTTTCTAGAAAACAAAACAAAGGGTCACAGTGTAAGCATAGGATATAAATGATAATTCAAGATTTGGCATCCCAATGTAATTCCAACAGCACAGTGTTAATTTGATATTACATGTAATTAATGTATTAAAATGCAGTTGTAGGTTAGAATCGAATTGTATCTGATTGTATCTGAAAAAAAAAATATATATATATATATATACTATATCTATATAGCTATATAAAAGAAGAGAGTAAGAATATGGGAGTGTGCAACGGGCCGAGACTGAACCTTGGACGTCAAGGTTAAATAGCCAGGATACACTTTTCAAGACTTTACAGTTTCAAACACAGCCCTTTTCTCCCGTTTACCCCTCGGGCGAAACCCTGACAAGCACAAGACCAGTATGGATTTGGGTTTACAAACGCCCCGGGCCGTCATGCATTACCAGCCGCGGGGGCAAATTGACGTCAAAAAAGACTGTTACTATTTTTTTTTTCTTTTTTTTCTAAGACAAAAAATAACTTTGTATGTGTTTTTTAGAATCATTTTAGTACATGTTTTCTATGTGAGAGTAAGAAGGACCAAATTCATGTTTATGCTACTGACAGATCTGAAAAACTGTTTTGCGTCGCGCCGTATCACTGCACAGGGTCCGAAAAAAAAACGTTTTTGGGGCAGACGTACCCCGCCAAACCACTGTTAATCCTGCTCACCACATTTGCGTGCCACTCCTCAGGAAAAAAATGGCGAAAGTGACCAAAATTTGCTCTCCTGGATCGAAAACGATTATAGCTGTGAGCAGCCTTCAGCAAATAATCAGTCCTGAGCAGAAGCTATAGTCTGTTGCCATGGTTTCTAGGGTCATTTTTTTCAGACATCGTTGAAAACCAGCACTATGTGTCAAAAACAGACAAAGCCGTCGTTCGAATGAGGAAAATGTAAAGGAAAATTATGTTCTTTTTAAATCTACAGACTAGTTAGGCAATAAAACATTTACATGAAGTAATATAAAGGCATATACGTGTGTGTTTGTGTGTGTGTGTGGGTGTGTGTGAGACAGACAGAGAGAAGTGGGTGTTTTATTTCCACTGTTTTATTTTGAAATGCCACTGGTGAAAAGCACAAAGCTTTAAGTTCACAAGCCACAAAGGTATCTGAAAACAAACACTGTAAGTTTGCTTCTAAGGCAGCTACATGTGACAGAGATCTGGATTAATTATTCGATTTATTCTCTGCAAGACGTCTGATGAAAATGTGCAATCAATAAGAGATTTTTTTTTTTTTTTTTTTTGTGAAATTGTATACATTTACCATTCATCAGATTTCTCTCTGAAACAATGTTGTAAAACTGTACCGTGTAAAAGTACCTGTGGATGTCCGTTTTGAGGTTTTTGTCTTGTTGAAGAACCTTATATTATTTGCTGTTTACTGCAATAATGCATCGATCTCAGAAACTAAAGCACATATCTTTATGAAATGTAAAAAAGAATAGTAATAACAAATGAATAACAATGATGGAAGATTATAAGAGAATAGATAATATGTCTAGTCGAACAAAATATTGTTTTGTATATTTCTAACTGTTTGGGCCTAATGTAAAATATTCTATGTAAAGAAAAAAAAATATATATATATATATAATAAATGTCTTTAGATGGTGTTATATAAAAGCATGATTGCCATATGTTATCTGATTTAAAAAAAACAAATAAAGTATTATAGATTATAGAGAATGTGTGCTTTATGTCTTGTGTCAAATAATTGGTGCTTGTCAAAATTTTAAAAAAGTTTAATTCAATAATAAAAATAAAAAAGTATCATTTTCTCTTGTTATGACATTGCAAAATCAATTTTAAAAAGGAGCAGAAGTGTTTGAGTGAACAAACATTAAAGCTTTGATCATTAAAAATGACATATAAACAAGCGATTTCTAGTTTTTAAGTGTGCTCAAATTTCACAGTATGAGCGATTATGTAGGAGAAGCTTGATTATAATGGTTTCCTCTGACCTCTGATCAGAAATGATCATTCGTTTCCTATTAACCCCTTAATAGTCCCAATGGAGATGCGTTATTAATCCAGTTCTAATTGTCAAATGGATCAACAAATTATTTATATACCCAAATCTGATGATAAAGTTCAATTATTAAATGCATGCTCACAGTCATAAATTCTCTAAAATATTCATTTTTATTTTATTGTTTATATTTTCAGGGACAATGCACAATTAAAAGTAATTGCACCAGAGTTAGCTAATAGCTAATTTACATCTGCTGTCCCTAGGCAAAACATCACAATACATATATACCGGGATGTAAGGTTTAGAAGATCAGTATGTAAACCAGATTATTTACAACACAGTCAAATGGTTGCAGATAGTAGCCCGTACTTAAGCTTGTTTTTAAAAGTGTAGACGATATCAATGCTTCGGATGTTTATGGGTGAGGAATTCCATATCCCTATTGGATCCATATTGTATATTCCATGCAACCCTTTCAATTCAGAAAGCAATCACAAATGTTATTTTATTGGAGGTCTGTTCCTCAATTATTTGACATTTAACTGATATCCATATGATTCAGCCTAGAGGTTACATTGTAGATTTCCATATTGTGACATTCCCCATTGCCCACATTCACCACCGCTGTGATATAATAGCTTTTGCTTGTGGATCCAATTGGCATGTTAAATGTAGTCTGGTGGGGGGTTGATCAGGACAAGACATTAGGAGGAGTTTCTCCCTGGAGTCGTCAGGCCTGAACCAATGGCAGACGTGCTTTACTTCAGGCACAGCGCAAACTAGAATCGTAAATCTGTTCCAATAAAGCATTACTTCAGAGCCAAGCCTGGAAGCCTGATAACTAAGAGCCAAAATTCAACATCCACTTACAAAAAAAAAATAGATTATTATTATTAATATTATTATTTCTACTGCCCTAAACCAAAATGTTAAGCCTTAATGTAGGTGTATGCCATATCTTTGACATTTGTTCTATACTGACATTTAGCCTTTGTAAAATAATTTTTTTAAGCTGCAATACTTGCCATTGCTGATCAGTTCTAAATGTTGTTTAGATAAATAAATGTGTCCACGCACACACACATACACACTGGGCGTATGCTCTTATCAGTGTTTTGCACATGGTAGGCCATGATATGCATTGTTAGCTAAGGCCTTTATTCAAATCATTTGAACTGTATCTTGATGTTACACACACATGCCTAGTAAAATATATTTATTTGAAATATGTAAAACCGACTGGGGCAGAATATCTAATCTGTTCTATCCTCTGTTAGTTCTACTAATGAATTGGCCTGTAGAATTATTATGATGGCACTACAGAGGACAAATGAGGAAAAGGCGGATGAGAATTTAAGGTCAACAATAGCAGAGCGTCTGTGGTGTGTCATGAGACATGTAACATTTTTTTTTTAATTATTATTATTTATTTATTTTGCCATGTTTGTTGTATTAATTAGTATTTTGAATTGGTCTGTCATTTTGTTTCTGATCATTTCTTTGTTTCTGTCATTTTTTGACAAATCTATTTCACGGCTTTTCACAGTCGATGCCGTCAAAGCTCGGATGAAATAATCTCTTTATTTTGTACTGCCTCTGTTGATGTTGAATGGACCAATACTGTTTCATTTGTTGCCTTAGTTATTCTAGATGATCTTTTTTTTCTGTTAAATAGTATTCGTTGGTGTCATGTTTCATCATTTATTATAGTCACTGTCATTTTAAAAGAGTGTGTATGAATATAGATGGTGTGTTAAAATGAAGGTGGCCCAGGTCCTTGCTGTTTTTTTTTTTTTTTTTTAATGACTGAATTTCATACATATTGAGGAATAGTAAAGCTCTTCGAAAAATTGATATTCCAGGGAGCGCTCAAGCACATTTTGAGAGGATCAGATTTCTGCTTTGTTGCTCACGTGTTGTTCTGTTTTTACAGACAATTATGACAGTAGCTCATGCAATGACAGCCAATCAGAAGAGTCACAACCTTTTGTAATTATTAAAGGCAGATGACCTAAGCACTGAATCCAAAAATTCAACATGAGAAGAATATTATTTGTGAAACTATTTGTGGGACTATTTGTCACTCATCCCAAGACGTCTTTTGACCATACGTCAACATCCGCCGTTTTAGGGTACCCTTAAACGTCGGTTAGATGACGTTATCGGATCCTAACCCTACCCCAGACCTAAACCTACCCCTAAACCTACCCCGTCACCTAACTGACGTTAAAGGTAAAGCGTCAGTTGTATGACGGCCCGGGATCGTCAACTAACCGACGTTTAAGGGTACCCTAAAAAGGCGGATGTTGACGTATGGTCAAAAGACGTCCCAAGACGTCAGTTATATGACGACTTGGGATGAGACTGTGTTAGTCATACATGAACAGAGGAAAAATATGGCTCATTTTTAAACAAGCAATGTTGGCCTTGATTTTTTTTTCGAGCAACTGGCGAGAACAGAGAAGCCAGCCTCCATGATGTACGCCTGCAGTCCCGTTAGGCTAGCATAAGAAGCACACAATAATAAGTGAAATCAGCTACACAGATTTGACAGTTTCAGTGTAAAAAAAAAAGTACAGGATTAGGACAATATGAATTATCACTTCAGTGTCTTGCTCTGCACTGCAACTCACTAGTATGGGATGTGTTTGTCTGAGTATCACTTTACAATAAGGTTAATTAGTTAACATTAGTTAATGTATTTACTAACTTGAACCTAACAATGAGCAATACATTTGTTTCAGCATTTATTAATCTTTGTTAATGTTAGTTCTACCAGAAAGATTTGGGAGATAAGATGAAAAGCAGTATACATTTATTGACAGCTCAGCAAGCATAAATTTATGAGTTCTTTGGCGTAGGCCCCGTCCTTAGCGAGCATAGCGAGGTTAGCCGAATCTGCATGTCCCGCCTGAGATGAAGGCGGGGGCGCAGCCGACCCCCTGGAGGTAAGGAAGGGACCATCCTGGTGGTGGTGGTGATTGGGAGGATGGAGGGGAAGGTACCATCTCGGTGGTGGTTGGGGAGGAAGGAGGTGAATGGCAGCGTCAGCATCTGCGAACTCAGACAAGTGTAAAGGCCATTGCACACCGAGCACGAAATATTCGTATGCGTATTTTCGTGTTCGTCAGCCTAAAAATTCGTCACGCATAGAAACCTTGCACACCGAGTCCGTTGCGTTTTTCTTAAACCTTTGCGGGAAAAAACGCAAAAATACCAAATGGATTCGTCAAGCAGTGAGGATGATTTTTGTCCTCTCTCTTATTGAAAAGAGAAGAAAGAGAAAATATTACGTCCATCCAATCCTGAAATTGTGCCGAGAGGCGAGTTCAAGGAGCGATTAAAAATTTACCTCAGAATGTCAGTGGGACAGTTCGATGCTTTGCTAGCGATTCTGGAGCCACTTATTAAAAACAAGACCACCAATTTCCGTGAACCAATCGATTCTGAACGGAGACTGGCAGTGTGTCTGGTATGGACACACACACCTGCGCGCGGCTCGTTGGAAGCGCTGAGCAGACAGAACAGCTAGGCTGTTATTGTGTATATATTGTGTATATATTGTGCCCAAATAATACATTAGTTATCGAATAGGCTGCTCAATCACACCTTATTCGATCCTAAATTTCAATCTGATTGAAAGGGGAGGTTTATTAATTTCATAATCCAATATAGAGAAGAGAACATAAACACTTCTTGATCGAATTGAAAACCGAAACTGAAAGCATTGCGCATATGTGCAATGATTTGAGGACGAGCTCCCCCCGGCCCTGAATTGTCAAAAGACCTCTCAAAATGTTGGCTCTGGATGCGAAAAACGCAGAAAATCGAACCCGATCCGATTAATTTTATGACGGACGAAAGTTTCGGAGGCGGTGTGCAAGCGTGACTGACATAACGTGAGGTCGAATTTTTTTTTTAATGTGCGAAAATTTCGGATGTGAATTTCGGACTCGGTGTGCAATGGCCTTAAGTACCAATCTTTTAGGAATGAAGGTAATACATGACGCGCTGATTGAGTCTTCCTGACAGAACTTTAAGCTAAAGCTTTCATTTCATACAAATTAAGCTGTTCATGTTAGTTAACAGTGTTAACAAATCCAACCTTGAAATTGAAATTAATATTAACTAAAATGTATATAATGCTGAAGAAGTATTGGTCTTTCTTAGTTCATAACTAAGGTAGTTAACTAATGTTAACTAATTAATTCTATTTTAAAGTGTATTTTTTTATTTTTTTATTTTTTTGGCTGGTTCCCTGGGTCAGATTCTGCTTGCATATGATTCTGGTTCAGTGGTAAAAACCAACACTAGCCCTAAATAACACAGTACAGAACGTGTAATTGGGTATGTTTAAGTGTGCAGTTTACAGTAAATTAATTTGAAATTAAAAGGTTAAAAGGTCAATCAAAAACTTCAAAATCTAACTATTTATTAGATTTGCCAATGCAAACCAAATTAATGTATTTGTACAGCAAGATACATTTGAAATAACAGAAGCTCTCCTGGTAGATAATCCAGCTAAAGGTCTGGTATCTAGCTGGTCCAAGCCGGTAAAATGGAGGCCAGTTAGTAAAGCGTTGTAAACCTCAAGCCCCTGGCCTCGCATGGGTGCAAGTCCGACCAGTAACATTAATACTGCGTGACCCAGATAGGAGTGAGATTTAGGGGGGAGTGCGCAATGGACTAGTGCACGAGTAGATTCGGAAGAGTC